ATAAAAACAGAAATATTGAGGCCCCAGAGAGCAAAAGTCCGAATCAAACCACGCGTTTAACCTATTATCAAAAAAGCCACCCAGATTAGCACATAGAGAGCTTTCTACAGAAGCACATATATGTTTGTGAAGCAACAGCAAACAAACATGCGAACTAAGCTCAAAATTAACTCACCTCAAAGAACCGCTTCAACCACCAGACCTGGAAAATGCCCTCGCCAATGATAATAGCCAGCTGGAAAATACTCCACCATTTTACTCGGCCGTTGGTGCTCTCGGCGGTGTTGCGGTGTGTGCGTTCCCGAACGACAATGTACGACTGCTCGTCTTTAACCTGCGACAGTTCCTCAGATAGGAGGCGAACTGGAAAAAATAAAGAAAACAGGGGGGAGATTATTAGCAAGTCTGTCCAACTCTTATAGTATTTTCACGTATAGCATTGCCAAGGGGGCTTCCGTGGAGGTAAAATTAAGGTGGGCCGTAGAGAAGGGAAATCGGGATGGGAGGTTTGTATAAATAGTCTCTATCTAACCTTCAGCTTCTAAGGGGTCGATGGGCACTTCTGATTCAGGGACATAGACCACTCCATGGACATTGAAGGAGACTTCTTTACTATTCGATGACCAGGCCTCGTTGCCGAAGCAGTAGACGTATTTGCCGTCACGGCTTGCTGTGAAAGAGTATTCGTCTGAGGAGGAGTATTTGTTGTACAGCCGCGCGCCGGAGGGATCCTCAACCTATTGTTTGGTGGGTTAAATTAGCAACGTGAAAGAGGTCTCATGATTTACGTATTTCTTGCATCAGCATTCTGTGTGAGAGAAAATCGGCATCGGCGATGAACTATGGGGAGTATATGGAGTTTCTTAACGCACCCAGAAGCTGACGTCGAGGTTCCCGCTGCCGCCAAACTCTCTGTCACCCGCTTGGAAGGTGACGGTCATACGGTCATCCTTGCGTAGGACCTCATGGAAGCATTCTCTCGAGTGTGCGCGGAGGAGAATGTTATGTGAAGAAGCAACCCCTATCCATCCCAGCAACGAGACCAGCACTGCGGCCGAAGAGAAGAATTGCATTGTTGTTTCCTTGTTCTGGAGACCAGGCGTGCAGCAGCCAGCTGAGGTTCAATTTGATTTTCAAGAGGAGGGTAGGAATCCGTCGGGAAGCCCCCAAGCTAACTGAAGACGTTGAGGAGCGTTGCTAATAGAAGTGCTGGGTATAATTAATTATTCGCGTTTCCCGAATAGCTGAAATCTGGCTGCTTTGCTCGTCGTCGTCGATGATTGGGTGCAGGATCGGAGATGCACTAGCGGTCTCTCTGGCCCGCCGTAGCACTGATTTAGCGGCAAAATGGAACCTACAGACGACAACAACAACAACAAAGGCCCGTATGGTATGGTAGTGTGTAAACCTCATGGACAAGCCGCACCACTCACACCAGTCCATCATCATGCATGACCCAGCAGCCCAAGCCCAACTATCTGTGGACAACTCATCACTACCTGCTACTTCCTTCATCTTGCTAACCTGTCAGCCAGAGGAGATTCCATGATGGGTTCGTGCTGAGGGGAAGACGGGAGGGGGGGGTGTTTGTGGGACGTGGGATGGGATGAGCTGGTTGTCGATATATGGCTCTGATTGCTCAGAGGGCCGCAAATATGCCAGATGCCAGACCCGGGCAGGGCAGTCATGCAGAGATTCCTAACTGACGACAGCAGTCATGTGTGGATATCCTGGATATATGTCTGCCAAAGGAATGACAAGCCATCGTTCGTCTGGGATATTTCTGTGTTGTGTTTGCTCTTCTGTTTTACAATTTACCGAGAGGAATATATTATTATATTGTATCACCGAATAATCTGGTGATTGATATTGACTGAGAAGAGATTCCTCTATATTTCTTTCTTCCCTTTCCATGACTATCCATCTTTTCTTTTGCTCAGTGAAGCTCTAAACTAGCAAATAATTGAATTTTCAAGGTTAATTGATACCAACCATTAAGGAACTCACTCCGTGTGTCTTGCTTGTGGACTCTCTGTTGCTATGTGACTTCCTGTTTGTTTTCCTCCTCATTGAAAAGACTCACTGTGCCTCTTCCCATACTCTCTCTCTCCGTCTCATACACACACAAACACAAACACACCCACATACATAATATATATCAATTCTTTCAGCCCATCCCCTTCTCCTCTGCCACCCGTCCATCGATTTTGGAAGCAACTGAGGCCCTGAGGTGTACACATAGGAAATAAACAGAAACAATATGCCTTCCTACACTGATGGCAGGGGCGGACTCAAAATCTCTTTTTCAGATGTCTTCAAGAGCTCGAAGACGATCCGGGAGGAGATGGCTGCGGCAGCTTATAAGGTGAGAACAATAACTTTGGCAGCAAGGCCCCGGGGGGCGAATATATCCACCGTTTTTCTAACAGTCAGAGCCTATTCTAGAAAGCCGCAGTAGCAGCCAAGGCTAAGAAAGCAACAGCGGAATTGGCTGCTCGCACCACAAAGGCTGGAGGATACCCAGGGGGCTTCCACAACGCATCCGCCCCGGTCATATCCCCCGGCTATCCTCCGCTAGTCTACGTCTCCGTTCCGCGCAGAGATGCCGCCCAAATGAATTGGAGCCAGTCCCCTACACAGTACCATGCCATTCCACAAATATCAGCCGATCAGGTGCAGACAAGCCAAACCAACACGGGTGCCAGTGCCAGTCCTACCCTTCAACAACAACAAGTGCAGCAGCAACAGCAACAACAGCAACAACAACAGCAGCAACATCAGCAACAACAGCAACAACAACAGCAGCAACATCAGCAACCACCACAACCACCACCGCAACTACCACAACAGGAGTGGACAACGGACGATGACGATACACTACGGCGATTGAAGGCGGAGGGCATGACCTGGAAGGCAATATCAACCTCCATGGACAGACCTGTACAGGCACTGAAGACTCGATGGGGCATAGTGCGGCCCGCGGTGGAATATCAGATCCAACGACCACACACCAGCGCCCAGTGTGAGACTAGCTCAAGATCACAACAGCAGCAGGCAGAGACACAAAGGAGACATGAGCGGCGAGTCTCATTCGCCGAGCCGCTTATCATGAACGGGAAGGTAACTAGTAAAGCCACTATCATGTCAAAATCAAATTTATTATAAATCCCTTTCCTTATATCCTGCATCGCCCCTCTTCCCCGACCACCGTCTCCACTCCAACCACACATCCAAATATCCCGTCTAACAATGCAACTGGAAACAATCAAACTATTATTGTAGAACGACACCACCTCGATCACCTACCCGCGCGCCCCGAAGAAGAAAATCCTCTACGTCGACGAGAATTTCAGCCTCGAGGAGATCCTGCTCCTGAATAAGCTGGCGGTGCAGTACGAGGAGGAGAAGTGGCTGCGGATCAGTTCGCGGTTCTATGATAAGACGGGCAAGCGACTTACGCCACAGGAGGCGAGGGAGCATGTGCAGAGGGGGTAGAGGTTTGGGGCATTTGTCTTTTTTTTTTTTTTTTTTTTTTTTTTTTTCCGTTTTTCTGCTCCCTTGTTTCTTTGTTTTGATGGTACTTACGGAGTCAGTACATGCTAAATATATCCATACATACGCAGTAACTTGTACATGATCAACACCACGTGGGAGCAAGGGGAGGGAGTACAGCATCGTTAGCCGACGCATACATAAGCAAAGACGTCGATGCAATGACACGGAAAGGCCAGGTGTGGCGAGGTAGCGTGGGTAGGTAGAGGTTACGATTAGTTTAACTACTTGGGGTTCCATATTCCAGGCTTTTTTTTTTTTTTTTTTTTTTTTTTTTTCCTGGCATGTTCGAGGGTAGAATGTGGGTATTCCGTACTTTGGCATTCTCTTTTTTATTTTCTTCTCTGACTTTTCCTTCCTAATAATAAATTGAGTAGGTTATCAATTGTTAGCGAACTACTTACTCCGTACTACTGTGTACAGCATAGTTGCACAGTGTCAGTGTGTCAATTGCATCTGTAACTATTCAGATTCTCAGATTCTGCCTTTGTTAAGCAGTGATTCGTTGGTTGATTCTTTCATGTTTTTTACTTTTATTTTTATTTCTCAGATTTATTAAGTTACTCAAGAACTCCAACACTCCAATAATCTATCTCAAAGCATCCCCCACCTAGCATCCAGGCGGCAAAATCCAATCGTTCCGAATGTCCCCCCTGAAATTCCCCCAGCCAGCTCCAGCAACGGGCCCCTACCAATCGTTGAGCCCACTAGAAGAACCACACTATGCTAATTCCACACATAGCGCTTGGGAGTTAACTAGTAGTTATAAGTTTAGTGGTTACCACCCGGCAACTTCAAAGGGGACGGATAGCCCTGGTTAGTAACCACGGTAGTACGTACCGTACAGAGTTTTAAGTACTCCGTACGGAGGTTCCAGTTCAGGTTCAGGGGAACCAACTTTATCAGTTTGGTTCGGTTGTTGGGGCCCGCCCTCCCCCATATGGAAGATTATTATTGGAAGGTTGAATTCTGCAACTAAGTTACTTGCGTAGATGCTGGAAAAACTTCAGTCCGGGAGCTTCTTATTAGATTGTGCAAGGCCTCGCCTTCGCCGCACGCAAAATTACCTACCTACCTTACCCTATCTATCTATCTTGGTTAGCAAGTTACCTGACGCTTGGGCCATTCCCTTCCCTTCCCTTCATTTCCTCTCACTTTCATGCTACTCCGTACTATGTAACTACAGTACAACATACATAGCTTCTATACGAGTCTCAAGAATAAGAGATCTTGATTTCACAAGGCCTTCAGATAAGTTGCAATTTATTACTAATTACGTAGTGAGTGGTTATAAAAGCCCACTTTGTAGTAAACTAGTACGCAGTAGATCTTGGATTCGGATTAGTAATATCTTATTAATCACCACCATGATGAAGCTTCCGCTAGTAGTTATGATAAGTTAAGCAGAGGCTAAGAAAATGAAGCCGCCCCACCGAACCGAAACCAAACCGATATAAAATCTCCCACCGTATAGTATTGTATTATTCTCCTCGAACCTTGTGTCGTCCGGCGACTGTGGCTAGTGGTTACAGAGTCGGGCTGCTACCCTGCGAAAACTGATGGAGTCCTACTAGTAGTAACTAGTCCAAGGGCCCGCCGGACGGACTGGACTGACTGCCGTGTTGTGTCCCAGACTCCCAGACCGGATGAAACCAAGGGTTAGGGTCCGGTCCTTCCATTACCTGGGTCGGGGATCTATGGATGGATTGCACCCTAGGGAATCTTGGGACTTCAAGGGACGGGATGGGATGGCGAGAGGGAGAATTTTATTTTTTATTTTAATTTTATTTTAATTTTCTTGCTTGGGCAGCAGACAGACGATGGGCAGGTAATTGGAGAATGAATCATTACTACTTATCATTATTATTCTGTTTGTGCTGTATGGAGTAAGATAAGATGTTCCACAGCTCCATTATTTTTAAAACAATAATAATAGGAGGTAACAACTCCGTAAATATTCAGCCAATTTTGATGAATTGGGGGGAGAAATAAATGGCAGACAACGAAAGGGTCCGAAGAATCCGACCCCGACCGACCCGTGGAAAGCCAGACTGACTGACAGATGACAGACAAGACAAGACAAGACAGACGGACGGGACGGGACGGACACGCGCCCAGGTGAGGGTGGTGGTGGTGGTGGTTGGTGGCCTCGGCGCCACTGCTCAATATCTGTCGCTTCTGCTGGGTTTCTTCTTCTTGCTCCTTGTCATCGTTATTATCGGTCTGTCTGTCTGTCTGTCTGTCTGTCTGTCTGTCTGTCATTCATTTTATAAACTTCTTTATTACCTTTCGTTCTCTGCTTTTTGCCTCTCCCGAATATCGTATCCATTCATTCAGGTTCATTCCCTTATTTCTTTATATTTCTTTCTTTCTTTCTTTCTTTCTTTCTTTCCTTCCCTTTTTCACTCCTGAAACACCCATCAATCAGTTCATTTGAACAAAAAAAATCATTCCCTCGGTCGAACTCGATTAATACCAAAACCTCACTCGTCCCTCACTTTTCGGAATTACAAAATACAAAATTAAAAAAAAAAAAAAACGATGCGTCTCTCCCATCTCCTCCCGCTCACCCTGGCAGCGGGTCCCGCCGTGGTTTCCGCCGCCGGCACCTTCGGTTTCGCCCTGGGCGTCAAGAACCCCGATGGAACCTGCAAGTCGCAAAAGGATTTCGAGGACGACTTTGATGTCCTCCAGGCTCATACGAAGCTCGTTCGTACCTATTCGGCGAGTGATTGTGATAATGCCTTGTTTATCCTCCCCGCCGCCGCGAAAAAAGGGTTTAAAGTTGTTCTTGGGATTTGGTGCGTAATACATCATATATATATATATATAACTATCTACGTTATATGATTAACAGAAGACTAATTCATATGTATATATGTATATATATATATCTATATAGGCCCGATGTACCGGAATCCTTCAACGCCGATGTACGGGTGCTGCAGAAGGCAGTCAAGGGACATAAGGACGTCATCTCTGCAATCACCGTCGGCTCGGAGACGCTCTACCGCGGCAACTTCACCGGCCCAGAACTCTTAGAGAAGATCAATGAAGTCAAGAAGAAGATCCCCGGGGTGCGGGTAGGCACTGCGGACAGCTGGAATAAATATGACGATGGTACCGCTGATGCTCTAGTCCTTGGCAATGTGGATTACTTGTACTATGCTTTTCTCTTTTCTTTTCCCCCCTGTTTTCAAAATGGACAGATGGGGGGCTGTGCTAACCGTGTGTGGTGTGGGCTTCTTCTCCTCTCTTTTTTCCATTCTAGCCTCGTAAATGCGTTTGCCTTCTGGCAAGGCCAGGACGTCCAGAATGCCACCGCCACCCTCTTCGATGACATGGCCCGCGCCATGATGCGCATCCAGAAGCTCGCCGGTGCCCGTGCAAAGGACATCTACATCGCTACTGGTGAAACCGGCTGGCCAAGCGGTACACTTCCCTTCCCTTTCCCTTTCTCCCCTTGCCCTCACCCCCCCCTTCTCTCCCTTATAACCATAACTGACGATACAAAAATTTTTTTTTTACAAAAAACAGATGGCGGCTCCAACTACGGCAAGGCCAAAGCAGGCACTGCCAACGCCAAGATCTTCCACGACAAGGGCGTCTGCGCGCTGCTGGCGTGGGACGTGGATGTGTTCTTCTTCGAGGCCTTCGACGAGCCCTGGAAGCCCGACAGCGTCGGTGATAACGGCAATGCTGCCAGCGAGAAGCATTGGGGCATGTACACGGCGGATCGCCGGCCGAAGTATGAGGTGCAGTGCTAAGGGGGTGGGATGTAGAAATGTAGATCGGGAACTTGTGGATTGATTTTTGATTTTTGATTTTCCTTTTTTTGTTGGTAATTTTTGTTCGTTAGAATTTGTGTTGTAGTGGGTAATTAATTCCATACGGGGTATGTATGTAGATGGGTAGATTAGATAGGGGGCATCGGTGCACCGGGCAATATCTTTTCTTTCCTTTTACTGCTGTTCTAGTTTTTTTTCTTTTTCTTTTTTTTTTTTTTTTTTCTTCTCCCTCGCATTTGCTTTTGTGGGTGTATGGTTGGTGGTGGTGGTGGTGGTGGTGGTGGTGATTCTCCTGTACTCTCTCAAACTCAACCTGAAGAAGAACATCTGGTCAATCTGGTGTTGTGATACAATAGACGTGGTTTTTTTTGTAAACCTCTACACCATGGCATTTTCTATAAAAAACGAATCTAGCTTTTCTGCTTGTAAACTGTAAATTATCCCATTCATTTCGCACATAATCTTCCCCCTTTACCATGTTTGGGTTAGATATCAGACCAATGACTGGGGTAATAACAGTACAGTCGCACATTTCTGCGGAGAGACGCGTCGAGAAAAATTAAATTAATAATAATATACGGAGTACTCCGTACATACACCGTATATGATAATAATTCAAGGATCAACACCGACAAGGCATAACTATGACGCTCACAGGTACAGGTACTGGTACATCTCCTCCCAGCAAAATCGCTAGTAATCACAAGTACATGTACTGTACAGTACGTGTACCTTCAACCCGTTTGTTATCATATTCCGTTCCCAATAATAATAATTAAATAAATAAAAATTCGCAGTCCCCCCGGGAGGCTAACGTATCCTGTATTGTAAGGAGGGCGTATCGAGCCACACGACCGACCAATCATGCAAATGGCGGGCGGGTATGGAGCGGTAAATACCAATACCGCTTAATCTCGCTTGAGTTTGCGCCCATTCCCTTTTTGGCTTAAGGGGGAAAAGGAAAATAAAATAAAATAAAATAAAAATAAAGGGGACGAGGTAAGAGAGTAAGAGAGTAAGAGAGAGAGAGAGAGAGAGAGAGAGAGAGAGAGAAAGATGACTGGTGATATATGTTGAGAACTGTTACTGTTTTATATCTCTCTATCTGTTATTTATTAACTCCATTAATAACTTAATAATAATATGGACAAGGCACAAGGACAGGCACAGGACAGGCACAGCCAACGCTTAGTTAGAGATTATCCTCGGCGGCTCAGCAGCGCCATGGTTCCATCGCCTGTCTATCCACATCTTGCCCTTGACCACTTGTTTACCTTCCCGTCATACTATTACTACTACTACTACTACTACTACTACTACTACTACTAAGTTACTGTTATCCTCATCTCCGATTCTTATATATTCTTTTCCGTTTCTGTTTTTCTTTTTACTTCTACTCTGGCTCCCCCTTCTCCCCTTGCCTTGCGTGTCCCCCGTCCCGTCCCGAGCCCGACCGACCGACCGACCCTCCATCCCCATCCTCCGCCTACTAGACCAGACCCACGACCGGACTGGACTGGACTGGACTTGGACTTGGACTCGCTGCCCAACTCGTTCCGTCCACCGCTTGTCGCGTCAATCCTGTCAACGTGTTCAACGTGTCCACGCCACGAGCAAGCAACAGCAACCAAAGAAAAAAAATAATAGAAAAAAAAAAAGAAAACCCGGGGGGGGGGTCCAAACAGAGAGAAACTGTGTGGGAGTGAGAGGGCAAACCAATAATAAATAAATAAATAACCTGCCCAGTCAACCCCTCAGCGGCCAGTCCTCTTTTTTTTTTTTTTTTTTCTTCTCTTTTCTCTTTCTTCTCAGGTTGAACGAGGACCATCCGCGCCGTAAGAGGAACAACCGGCCTGCATCTTATCCCTTTCCTCCCATCCGCATTGATTTCCATGCTTCTTCAAGATTCCGGAACATATTCAGAGCGGCAAGCGGGTGCTTGCTGCTGCTACAGACGACACGGAAAGTACGTGATCTTATTTCTATTTTCTTTTTTTTTTCTTTCTTTTTTTTTCCCCCTTGGTTTCCTTGAAACAGAGAGGAAAAAAAAAAAGAAAAAAGAAAAACATGTGTCCAATCCACTCCTTATTCAGGCAAAATTCCAAATACTCCCCTTCCTCCTCTAATTCAGTTTTACAATGGGATGAAACTAAACCTATCCCTGCCATTCCTCACCCCAATGGACTAAACCTCTAATCCATCGTCTCCATCAATTTCCAGGCTCACCTTTGTCCGCGGATTCGGCCAACCCGGTGTTCCGTCTAACGTCTGTTAGCGGACAGAGCGAGACGGCTCCAGCGGAAGACCTCCCCATCGCGACAATACCATCTCTGAGGCGTTCGGTGACTCCAGGGGCTTCAGGCCTCCAGGCTGCTCCCTCGCTCGGATTGCTGCCCCGAATCCCTTCCCCGGCTTCCAGCAACAACAACAATAACAACAAAAACGGTGCCGGCGGCGTGGTCTCTCTGCCCTCGTTACCCAAGTACCACACTGAGTCAGATTCGCTCTCCTCGTCTCCCGAACACCGGAAGACTGATAGTAGCGTCTATTACACTACGGTCTGGGGCTCCCCGTATGCGACTCCGAGTCCTAAGCGATATCCCTCGTCTTCGTTGAGATATCATCGGCGGGAAGAAGAAGACGAAGACGAAGAAGGAGAAGGAGACTACAGCAATACTAATAACAGCGGGGAAGATTCTCCTTCGTCCACGAAGAGTACCCATCCCGAAGCAAGAAAGGCTAGTGGTGATAAGAGTAAGAATAAAAACAACGGTTCCCGAAAGCCATCCTCCTCGCGCGTCTCGAGGCGTTTCTACGGCTCTATCAGTCGAGGTGCGGCAAGGGGCCGACACGGGAATCCTATCAAGGATTTCACCGCAGAGTGGATCAACCAGTATCTGTCAGGACAGCAGAGAACGGAGCGTACAAACTGGTTGAGTGACGACTCGGCGGATAGCGGCACGGGTTCATTCCTGACGGCCAGAAATCACCTGAGCGAGGATCAATCGGAGGGTTGGCTTGGTCTAGAGTACGATTCCCAGGACGAGGATCTCCTCAAGACTCCGACATCGCGTACCTTTGGTCGAAGCATATCGAAGGACTTGCTTGTTCCTCGGGACACCCGCCGTCAGCCTCTATCTAGAATCCGACCAAGACACATCCCGAAGAAAAGCACGGATACTTTGAAACAGTCTGACTTTTGGGATATCGGACACGAACTGGACGGTGTTCCTGCTACAGCAGCTACCATGTCCGACAAAGAGGCTCAATCCAAGGCGGCCCTGAGCCCGCACCCAAACGGCTCGTCATCAGCGGGTGATTCGAGTCTTCCGATATCGCCCATTGATAAACCACTCCCTCCACCACCACCACCACCAAATGAAGAGAATGGCGGTGTCAATCACCCACCACCTCTCCCCGACAGTCCACGCGTTGCCCCCAAACAATCGAGGACGTCAACGCCTGCTTTTCAACGGCCGAGGAAGAAAGTTTTGTGGGGAAAGAGGCAATGTTTTATTGCATTACCCCTTGACGACCGTCGCGGTTCCAGCCATGGGGGCTTCTCCCTGCTTACTCCAGATGATGTCGACAACCGGTTGAAGGAGTGGAAGCAACAGGGGTATGATATTCGTGGCTTTGACGACGGGTCTCGGTTTGGAGGTTCAGATGCCAGCTCACAAAGTCGACCAGCATTCCCGGACCCATACGAATCTCTGAGGGAATGGCGGGAGAACAAATATACCATCAGCTTCCCCGATCAATCCGAGTGGGAAGCGTATGTCAATTTCCTCAAGGAGGAAAAGCTGCGTGCACTGGGTGTCTTCCTTGACCCCGATCCACCCGCTTCAGCCGCCGGTATTTCCCCAGGAGGATCATTGCCGATGAGCCAGGCCTCGTCGCAGTTCCCTACTAACAACCATCCGTTTTCTCCGCCAATCCCAACATCCTCCGCGGCGAGTAATCCATTTGGGCTACCCTCGAGCGCCTTCTCTGCACCATTCAGCCAAGCTACCCTGGCAGCCTCAACACCTGGTGCATTCGCGCCCCCTGCCGCATCACCATTTGGCTTACCGACCAGCTCCTCCTTCCCGACCCAGCCTGGCCTCATCGGGGTAGATCATTCGTTTAACAGTCAAGGGTTCCCTTTCATGCCCTTCCAACCAACCCCCCCTGCTCAGAGTGCTTTTGCGTCTCCGAATTTCTTCGTTGGGCACCAGAGTGGTGTTTCTCCTGTTGGCTCTGGCGCGAATAACCTGGCGACCATGAATAATATGAATTCCATGCTGCCGCCTGTTTCGCCGATGGCGTCTGATGATGCGAAACAAATGCAGTTGCAGTTTACCGGGACATCTGGTTTGCTATCGCAGTTGCAGGGGCCGCTGCCCATTTTATCTCAGCAGCAACGACAGCAAGAGCAACAGCAACAGCAGGAGGTAGATTCCACTGAACTCATTTCCCCGCCTTTGGCGGATTCGGATACGGTACAATCCCCATCATCGGGTCCGGAAATCGCACATCCAACCCCGCGCGGACATCGCCATAACGTGAGTGAGACGCTACAGAAGGGCGTAGAGCAGGCTGAGTATCACCTGGAAGATGCGATTCGGCGTCAGTTGGAGGAAGATGATAAGAATGAGGGTGAGCATGAGCGCGACCCCGCTGATGACTTGATGAAGTCTCGATGGGCTGTTGCTGAGGAGCCGGTGTCGAACCTGTCCAACGTCCAACAGGCGAAGGTGCTACCGCAGCAGCGCCTCTTCGGTGAACGGAACGATGGTAAGGAGGATGAGGAAGATCTCCCGCTCGATGCGTCCGACATCGATACAAACCCTAGCCTCTCAGGCTCCTTCCACGGCCAGTTTGGCAACCAGCAGAACAGCTTTGACTCCAGCTCCCATCACCAAGCGCAAGCCAGCGTAACCTCTTTCAAACAACGACACAGGTCGCGCACGTCTGTCTCAACACTCAATGTCGAAGCGAAGGAATTCGACCCATCTGGCTCCTTCGCGTCCAATACCTTTTCTTTCACGGGGTCTACCTTCCAGCCACCGCAACAACCACATTATTCAAATACGAATAATATCTTCCACCCATCACCATCCATATTCAGCCCGCGGGTGTCGCAGCATAGCGCTACATCCTCCAACGCCTTCAATGTGACTGCCCCATCATTCGCGCCGATCGGGGGCAGTAATACTACCACAACCCCTTCACTCT